AAGCGAACAATTGCTGGGTCTTTGTCCTCTCCCTCATGTCTGTGCTATTTTATCAGGACAGCAACGCAGAAAAAAAAGACGAAAATTGTGGCTTGTGCAAGCAGTTTACAAGGTGCCTTTGGCAGCATTGATTATGCTCTCACCTCCCTCTCCAGTCTAATTATTTGCTGTTTCTCTCATTACCCCTCAACCAGTTGAGGCAGAGGGTCGCTCTGTACGCAGTCTTGTTTTTGCTCCAGGTTTCTTGGGCTCTTAAAAGCTTCATATGCTCGAGGATGGGCCTTGGAGAGATCATGCAGTGTTTCATTCATCAGGCTTTGCATGATAACAGCTGATTGCCTTTTGAGTGCGAATTCCCCATAAATGACTCAACTTTATTTTTTATAAGCAAATTTGATGGAAAATGTAGACGATTTTCTATTCAGAGGTGATGTCGAGGCAGTGGATCTCATGAATGTTCTTCAAAACAAATTATCTCCCGAGTCCCCACTAAGTTCCCCACACACACACACACACACGCACACACACACACACACACACACACACACACACACACACACACACACACACACACACACACACACACACATACGTTTTGTCATTTAAAAACATCCCGATTTAATACTTAATGATTAATACTTAAATCATTGACATTATTAAGAAATATTGATGGAATTGTTTGGTAAACAAAAAAAAGCATGACAGAATATATTTTCTGATTTAGTTTCAAAGTAGGCATCATCTGCCCAAATAACAGCTTTAAAGCTTTACAGCTTTACACATCTTGGGATTTTTTTCAGCCAGTTTTATGATGTGGATGATGCTTTATGACCTGGAATAACTTTCAGTTCACACCTGTGCATTGTCAAGAGTTAATACCTTGAATTCCATTTGAATTTGAAGGTATTTTCCAACTTTTCATCGGTGGTCCTTACCAATCGCTGCAAAGGAGAATTATTCTGCATTATTAATGTAGAGCCCTCATTTTAAATATCGCAAAATCAATGTCACAGTATTCAACAACCTGACCGCATATCCATATCGTTTTTTCCCCCCCAATATCGTGCAGCCCAAATTGTGTAGACTTTTTACATCCACGTTATCGGCGAATGAGTCCTTGGTCTGTTGAGTATCTCTCGAGAACCCCGAAGTGAGTCCATCCATCTTTTGCGATTGCAACAGCAGGTGCCTTGGACAAGTTGAGGTCAGCAGCAGCTTTTTGAACCTCTTCAAAGGTAAAAGCGCTGGTATGCTCGTACATAATAAAGCGCAGACACGACTCCTGCTGTGTTATGTGTTTTCAACAAGTCATTATAGTTGGAGGTCACCCTCTGACCTAGTACGATACCGCGGCTGAAGTGTTCTCAAACATGAAACGACAAAAGCTCTGGCTTCTTGTTGTCAGTGTTTAAACCGTATGTTGCAAATGTTTCTATTCTACTCCTTTGTGTTCTGTGTCGCAGTCTGTGGTAACTACAATGTTTTATGTTAGTGGACAGTGAAATCAGGTTGTGTTAGCCTGTAGTTTCTATGTTGTCTGATATTGCGCTCAACTTCCCTGGCCTATTGGTTCTTCGTTTGACTAAGTAACTTCAAAATGATCAGTGCATATTTTTGCTCTTGTACTGGACAGTAACGACAATTTGCTACATCTGCCAGAGCTCACGCCTGCCATCAGCTGTACAATAAGCAGCTTCCTCTTTTCCTCATTCCTCCCTGTCCCTTTGACCTCTTCTCTCCTTCTTTGTTCTATCTTTATCGACACGAGCTCTGATTATATGTCTGTCCCTGCGGTTTTTTTCAACATTTTTGGTTTCCTGGAGCCATTTTGCTCTTTCCTCTTGGTGTGACAGCACGTAGTATCTCGCCGATACACAAACGTGTGATAAGCAGCAAAGATTAGTCCTCTTACTACGGCCCAACTTGAACTCCACTCGACCTTGACTATAATCAGAACTGAAGCGTGGAAAATCACTCGTGTTTTTGTTGCTGTATCTTTTCATGTTGTTTATACTTTTATTTCTGGTCTTTGTCCTTGTTACTTCAGCAGTGACATGCCTACTTTTCCTATTTATAGTCCTGTCGTTGCAAACGCATCACTTATAGTTTTTGCTTTGCTTAGCTCCTCTCAGGGTCAGGCCCTCTAATTATAGTACTCCAGTTGCGTTGATTTACTAGAGAGCACGTCCAGAATATGTATCATACTGAGAGATCATCTTGAATTACACCCTCTTTACCAGATGTTTGCATTTCTCTCCTTCTCTGGTGACATGTTTGACAAACCTCTGATTTGTGCCAATAATATAGCAACAATATTGCGACTGCTGGATAAAACTACAGATGTTTAAATACAGCTTTGAATTTCTTCTGACACAGTGATATAAGTTAACCGCTGTTAAATTAAAGACATAAACACAATAGAAGGCTCACGTAAATAGGAATCAGTATTTATAAAAGTAGCGAGGACTAATAATTGACCCTTGAGGGCCTCCTACTGTAAATTCAGCTCTTACTAGGGAAGGTTTTGAAGTGGAACGTAAGAAAATATGTCGCAGCCTCATTGTTAGCTGCTTCACACTCTAGATTTGACATGTAATATGGACTCTACGTATCATTTGGACAAGTCAACAAATATTTGAGTAAACATATGCTCAACTATATTGTACCTAACGGAGGAGGGCCACCTGGTTCCTGTGCTTTTCACAGAGCTTTACTTTTAGGGCGAGCCTCGCTACTTAGTTAAACAAAAGGGCCCCCACGTTGGTCCTCTATATAAACACACTTTCCTGAGAAAACACGGACACGGTTACACTTTAACCTGCGCAGGAGGCCACCGTTACATCCTACGGACAGTTAAGGTCAGGCCGGGCTTTACTTCAGACCTGCAGTGAGAATCATGCGCTGCACGTGAAACCACGCTGGTATGCGTAACAATGGCGCCTTTGACACTCATACCCCCACTCCCCAGTCCACAGTACAGTCAGAGCACTGTTTCTCCAGGGCTTGGGTGTCACTCCCCATCTCTGTTGTGCTCCCCAAGAGCTGACCATCTGGCTTCTCGGCTCTGAAAAAGCAGCGGCACAGAGGCGCGAGTCAAATGTCTGCCAAAATCAGTTCTGCAAAACTAACCTGACAACCTTTTGTGCAGGTTAGATTCATTCCCCTTTCCTCCGATATATTTTCACACAGACAACCTGGTCCTGCTGTTTTGGCGTTGCTCTTGACAAACCTTGACTTCTCAGCAAAGCGCTGAAACACGCGTGCACCGGAAAATTATGAAAGATGCCAACGATAGCATATTAAATTGGACACAACCGATAGGGTCTTTATCTCCTCGGTGGATGAACGTCAGTGACTGAGCTGCTATCTGCCTGAGTAGCTATGCAGTTCCGCCACCTCCCCCAGGCTCAGCAGCAGTCGTGTAAACAGACAGCGCTCCAGAGGAATGCTGGACTCTGTGACCTCACTCCCCGAGTGCTCTTATGGTGCACTGAGTTCAGGCGAAACAGCCCGCCCCATGCAGCTTCTCGCTGAAGTTCCACCCCACCCTGCCCCAGCTTGAGGCCCCTAAGGGTGGAAGAAGAAAAAAAAAAATCACCTCTTTCACCCAACGCTGGCAACTTCACATACACACACATATATACTGTACAGTACTTAAACACGTCCACACAGACAACTGCTTAAAGCGGCACCTTTCTTTACCCGCCAAGCTGTCAGAGCAGTGACTTAGTTTCGACAGTGTCTACATGCGCACTCTTTCGATTTAACGGAGTTCGTCATTTGTCATATCAAATTTCTCTCTGGTGCATCTCATCTTTCAAGGGAGAGAATAATAGGACTACTGTATTGCAATACATTCACATGTAAGTCAAAGGATTTTCCTGATCATTTCATCTCTTTAGATTCACCCTGAATGGAAAATGTCACATTTTCTAACAAAACAAAAGGTGAGAACTTTATGATTTATGCTTTGTGTGAATTGACAGTCTCAATGCTGAACGTTCAACGTTGCCTCGTTCAGTCTTTTCATCAGCTTTGCAAGAAGCCCAGTTGCTGTATTATTCGCCGGTGATGGTCTGCACTTGAATGTGATTCATGGGAAAGTATTTTGCAAACTCCTGAACAGTACCTTTCAGTAATTTCCTACATTTGATATTTTGTGGTTGGACAATTGAGTTTTCCAAAAAACGTGACAAAGTACAGTACATCAGCGGAAATCTTTTTCTTTTTTTTTCCCAGGGACTTGTCTTTTTTAAAAAATTTTTTTTATTCAAGGTTGTTTTGAGTTGTTTTTTTTTAAGTTGTGATTTTTGTCTTAACATCTAAGTGGATTATCTGCTTTAAAATATTTTATTGGATGGGTTTTATATACAGTAGCCTTCATATATATTGTATATTTTTTTTACAAACTTAGTACTTTTCAGTGTTTGGAAAAAAAACAGACACTGCCCTCTGCTGGAGTTTAGATGGAGCAAACATCAGGTCAAAATAGATGAATGCAGCGCACGTTGGGGTTTGTGAGACCCTACGGACTCATTCCAGTGTAACTACAAGGCACTAAGACACAGTATGAAAAAAAAGGGGGTGGGGGGGGGGAGAAACCAGCATTATAGAGTGATCTGACACAACGAAATCTTGCTGACGCATCTTGTGCAAGAATGAATTAGAGGCTCTTTTCAAACATTGCGCCCAATTTCCCTCTGTGATGACATGATACCGAGCGGATATCATCTGCGGTGATTTCACCGTAATTCAGACCTAGGTAGTGATCATCATCGCTTTTCTGCACCTCATCAAACCAACCTTAGGGGGCCTTAAGCATGTCTGCATTGCTCTTGTGAACACTTGCACACACTTGCAAATACACAGACAACAATCACAGCTAGTTGTTGTCTGAGGAAATGAGGAGCTGTCTGGTGCCATAGCAACCGTTTCAGACATCCCACCCTTCCAGAGCAAGGACGATTAAAAAAAAAAAAAAAAGCGTCAATCACAAATCAATGAGTCCAAATTTTAATCCAAGAAGCAGAGAACGGACTAAGCCCATCAGTGTGCCCATGTATCATTCTATCTATTATCGTATCTATCTGTCTGTGTATCTGGCCGAATGCCTGATCGTTTATCACATCTAAGTTGAATGAGGAATTGAAAGTGTTTTGAGTGTCGCGGTAAAGGAAATAAGAGAATTTGAACAAGAGCATTGGTCAGAGGTCCGACCGATGTTTCAAGGGTGAATCATAATTAGTCGATAAGAAAACTCGAGGGCATGCCAGAAAGCACTGCAGCCGTCTGCAGCAGCCTGCCTTTCGGCACCGTGACTCCTGGCTGAACTGCAATCTCCGATGTAATACTGTAATACGGGGGCCATATAGCGCGTTACGTAACACTCGCAGGCAAATGTTGACCTCAATCTGCGAAACAGACACTGATTAAAAATCTCCATATCGGTGCGGGGGAAGGCATACATTCCGAGCGTTAATGGTCTTTTGCGATTGTTTGATAATATTGCCATGCAATATATTTCTCAGTTTACAAGATAGTTATCTTGTGATTTTTCTCTTCTGCCTAGATGGCTGTCTGAACCTCTGTAGTGGATCAACAGCAGCCGTTCATACTGGTAAGTTCAGACCAGGCATCATTTCTTGGCTTGTCCTGTAGGTGGAAATCATCCCAACAAGTATCAACAGAGTCCTTTGGAAAAGGGCTTCGCTCTGATTTATTTTACCACCCCCCCCCCCCCCACTGTCATCTAACGTTTGTCCAGTTTGGTGCTTTGCTTCTCTGCATCAAACACAAGCCTGTCGTTGATTTGTTTTGTCTGTGTAGCGTTTGTGTTATTTTTATCCAGAGCGTATGACAGGAGATCACTTGAAGTGGCTCACAGCGTTGACCCGACCCACATATTTTTATCACGGTGTCATTGTGAGGTCTATGTGTGATGCCGGGAAGCTTTGCTAATACTGCTGAGCTTTGCAATGAGCTCTGAAGTATGCAAGCCCGGAACGAGTGACTATCTAGCCCGTGAGTGCTGAATTAAGAGTTTTGGACTTATATGAAGCACTGATTTTGCCTTTGACTTGAAAAACTGTCAGGTAAACATACAGTATTTTTAGTCCTACCACAGAAGTAATCTTGGTAACATCAGAACATGAGATTCACTTAAAATTAACCGCATTTTAGAAAACTCAATCCCTACTTTTATCGCATATTGTCTGTTATCCCCATTTGACCTAGTTTAGCGGTGTAGCTTCTACTCTGCACACTCTAAGCACAGGTGGCTGGACTCTCCCAGCCATCCTTTCTCTGGCCCCCTCTGTGAGTGAAAATACAGCACGGGGATTAAAAAGCTAATAAATTTGCTCCACTGTCCTCAAACTGAGGATACGATAACTTGAGGGTGGCGAGGGGAGGGGAGGGGGGCGAGCGCCTCTCTCCTCCCCCTCCTTCTCGTTCTCGGCTTTAGGCAAGCGGCTCCACCTGATGCACTCATCTGCATGCCTGCTCATCTCCACCAAAAACCGGTAGATGCGGGGTGGAGTGAACGAGGAGCACCAGCCAATAATACTTTCTTTCCTGCCAGCACTGAAGCGACTTGATTCACATATTCAGCCAATCACACCGCACTGCAGCAAAGACAGCAGCACAGTTGTAAAAAAGAAAAAAAAAAAGCAGAGTTGAAAATGAGCGGCTTACAGTAAGAATTTGTCCAGTGAGATCATTATTCTCTACTCTAACGCTTTTGCGCACGTCGCAGCAGCTTGTATGTACGAAAACGACGAAGCTACCGTAGTGTAGTTCCAAAACTCAAGGGACTGTAATAAACAGTGCTAAAACAGGAAATCCTCAGCCACAAAACCTCATCAAGGAAGGAATTTGTAACTCCTTCATTAGGCACTAAACAACTCTGCATTTCTGGCTCACACCGTGAAGAGCAATACGTGCATTTCGGAAATTTCATTTGGAAACGGGAGGGGTTTTCTGCTGTAATGCAGTGGTGCGACCGTACCTCCCTCACATATCAGTTGATGTCATGTCGTTTTACAGACAAAAGAGAGCCTGCACTCTGAGCTTTTACAGTTATTTGCATACAGTGTGTAGCTTTAAATGTGTTATTCATAAGGCCTTCAGACAAATACTTTTTTTTTTCACCGCTTCACTGATTAAATATTCACACAGTAATCCTTAAAAAAATATTTTTGGCCTCTAAATGGAGGAAAATAGGAATGGAGACTGGTAGATGATGCACTGAAGTGCTATCTTAATGAGACCGTGAACCTTGAAGAGAGTTAAATATTGTTTATACTTGTGCATAAATGAAATATGCAACCCAGAGTTTAATACTGTTGAGGTGGTTGAAAGATGAGTGTCACTTCTTCTCACCAGTTCTTCTCAATCCAAACTCTCACTTTGAGAACTGACAGCAGCTGTAAATTCAAGATCACGTCCGTCCTCCTGTTAGATATAACGCTTATTCATAAATACCAATAACCAGTACTTAACCTTTATTGACCTATGAATAATGGTTCCACTTACTGTCCAATGTGGGTGCCACCATTCTTCTTTGAGTTTAACTTGCGGTCATTGAGCAATTATTGCCCCAAGAAGGGCAAGTTGAGAAAGTTAATTGGCACTTGTTTGTTGCTCTGCACTCATTCGGGGTTTCATTCTTTCATTCTAATTAGTGGCATCTCATGGATACAGATCATTGGCTGGCCTAATCCGTCTCCATAGCAGACAACAGTAACAGTCTGCTCATGTTTGTGTACTATTTGGTATTTTCCAAACTGGAGTAATTCGTCAGTTGTTTACGAAAATGTCTCGGTGACGCAACTTCTCGAGAGTGAGGTCCAAAGTAGCTTGCAGAGATTTAAATTAATGACCACAGACTAGATGCTACAAAGGCCCAGTGTCTATTACGTCACCCACAGGTTTCTGAAGGGAGACTTTCCAACCTTGCTGTGTTTTTTTTCCCTCCAATCCAAGAAGAGAATGCAGCCTACTACTACATTACTCTAATCACAATTCTTGACAGAGAAAAGCTATAGAGCAGCGGTCACCAACTCCGGTCAGGTTTTAAATGTTTCCCTTCTCCAACATACCTGATTCAAATGATCAGCTCATCAGCAAGCTCTGCAGAAGCCTGATAATGATCCTGATCTAAGACATGCGGGATAGGGGCCCTCGAGGACCGCAATTGGTGACCACAACTTATAGTGCATGTCTGTAAACAAATGATGGAGTTTTTGTTTGTTTGTTTGTTTATTTGTTTGTTTTGGTTCAAATTTGTGTAATCAAAATAGGGAGAAAAGTTAATATTCAGGATCATCAGTCATAGGTATGGGTAGCTACAGGTGGTGTGTATGACTGTGTGCTTCCCTACTTTAGAGAAATCAAAGCCTCAAGTGTTCAGAGGTCTGTACGATTTGCCCTCACATGCTTCGTTGTTGCGAAACATTTCTTGACAGTTGTGCCTACGTTGCACAGCGATCTTTTGTGGACCGTGAAATGCCTTCATGAAGTTTCACACAGGATCCATCCATCCATTTTCTATTCCGCACAAAGGTTGCGGAGCCTATCTCATCCTGTCTTCGGCAATAGGCGGGGTACACCGTGAGCTGGTTGCCAGCCAATCGCAGGACACACATAGATGGAAAAAAAAATCAGCCACAATCACACAAAGGGACAATTTTAGAGTGCTCCATGAACCTGCCATGCATGTTTTTTGAAATGTGGGAGGAAGCAGGGGTACCCGGAGAAAACCCACGCAGGCACGGGGAGAACATGCAAACTCCACACAGGAAGGCTGGAGTCAGAATCGAACACTGCATCTCTGCACTGTGAGGCATACGTGCTCGCCAGTCAACCACCGCACCGCCTGTTTCACATATGATTTACTGTATTAGATATTTATTGAGGTTATCCATCTTCTTTCAGCTGTAAAGCTGAAAAAAACCTTAAGACCTTGTTGTTATCACCTCACTCACTCTACATTCCATAGAGGCTCTACTCTTATTGGGACCGCTACGCACTGGAGATGAGGCATGGTCTGGGGGAGATTGGGCCATTGCTATTGGAGCAAATAGTCTTTAATTAGAGGGAGAACTTGGCATGGACTGATGGAGGAGAAAGGATCTCAGGATGTGTGTCCAGGGTGAGAGGGTTCACACACAAAACGCTGGCTTTTCATCACTGCATGACTCACTCTCAGTTAGCGTGTGTGTGTGTGTGTGTGTGTGTGTGTGTGTGTGTGTGTGTGTGTGTGTGTGTGTGTGTGTGTGTGTGTGTGTGTTTCTTACCTCACTGCCCAGGCATTCCAGTAGAGAAAGTGGTGTGAAGTGAAAGAGCGGCTCTAACAGTGTGGGTATTCATGGATCTGGCCCCTGTGAGCTGGTCTGGGCTCCAGTGTTCACAGACAAAGCCTCTCCTGCAGGACCCAGACACACTCACACAGAAAGGGGAGCAACAGGAGAGGGACGTTGGAGAGGGGGAGACTAAGGTAACAAGGGGTGGGCTGGGCGCTGGAGAGTAGGAGGGTGGGCAACAGGACAGTGTCCTTGTGGCAATTCTCATCCCCTGAAAAAGTGAAGGTGTGATTGGATGTATTTCAAATCTGGATGAGCTCGAAGCTCTGGTTTTAAAGAATCAGAAATAACAGCTATCATCTATTTTGTCATCCCCCGCCCTCCCCCGCCCAAAAACAAGAAACCACTTCTCATCTTTACCGTCTATTTTGTCGTCTTGGTAGACACTCGCAAAGCCACTGCCATCCACCAACTACAAACATGCATTTCTCCTCCTGGGTAACAAGCTCCTCCCACTCTGCTGGGATCAACCAATCGGCTTTCTTTCTTCCAGCGCTTCCCCCACCCTCCCTGGCATTACTGCTTTAGCGCTTTGGATTCCATGAAAATTCTTGAAAAAACTTGGCCATCCTGTCTTTGCTCCCCCTGCCTGGCCCCTTCCCTCGATTGGGTAGCCTGGTTCGCTGTGTCCTTAAACAACCCATGCACATGTACAGGAAAGGGGCCCAAAGATGGGGAGTCACATCTCTGGCCTTTCCAGACTTGCTTTTGAAAATGTCTTGATTGCATTTCGTAGGTCATTGAAGGTTAGGGAAGCATCATTTCATACAAAATATTACAACTGCTTATGTGTGCAGACGTCAGCTTACAGGATAGCAACAACATATATGATGTGAATAGCCGTTGAACATAATGTGAGGAAAGAGCTTACGATTAAATGAGGATGCGGTCTGTCTTATTTCTTGACATGAATACACCATGTAAATGTTGATCCACCTTGTAAAATGACATCTACTCTTCCAGTGAAGCACACAAGCACGTTTTTTTTTTGTTTTTTGTTTTTTTTGTCATTTGCAGCCATGGAAAAAAAATATGAGCTCACTTTTTTTTTTTTCTTTCGGTTTCATGTTCATTTTAAATGCGCAGCACAACTTAAGGGGCATTTCTTTGGCCAACATATTAATGACAACAAAAACCGTTGAATTTATGGGCGGACTGAGACATTTTCCAAAGGTTTTTTTTTTTTTTTTTTAATATAATCTTTGTCTTGTGTGTGTGTGTGTGTGTGTGTGTGTGTGTGTGTGTGTGTGTGTGT